AAATGCTAAGAAACGACAAAACACCCGTTGACAGGAGGCTGATCCCAGGTGTATACAGAATACCGTTGTATGATAGGAGGCTAAATAAGGAGTTATATTATATAGGAGCCACTAAAAGATCATTAAATGAAAGATTGAAGGAGCACAAAAAGAATGTAAGCTTTAAACAACCAGTCACGGCTTTGGCCAATTACGCGATAGCAGATCCAACAGAGATCGACATCAAATGGAGCAAGGCAGATGTCATACAAAAAGTGAAAAATATAAAACATCTAAAATATGCAGAAGCCTGGCACATTTACAAGAGCAAAGAAAAAGGGCGTAATATAAATTTCCGTGAATCGAACAAAATAGCGTCGGCATGGAAAGCGGCAACTTTAAAATTATAAAATTATATTTATGAGCATGCGCAATCGAGAAGAACGTGCAGTTTGGAATCTCCGTTATGCAAATTTGAAATATATTTCGATTGATAATTCGACCCTGATGAAGGTTTGTGAATCAGACCGAAAACGTTCGACAGATGTAAACTAGACTGCATTTTAAAGGTATAGTGAAGAAGTTGTACATTTTGGTAAAATGGTTGGGAATCATTCTCCAGATTGCTTTGGCGATCTTGGCATTAATTCCATCAATGCCTGGAGATTTTCTTTCATTTAGTCTGGAGAAGGCTTTATCAATTTCATGATGTTCAAATGCCAGGGCGTTGCCAGTATTGATTTGATTGTGTATCTCTTTCTGGATTTGCCTCTGCAGATGGGTATCAGTGTCTAGATTGTCAGGAATACAATAGGAGTCCATTTGTTTGTTCAATGCTTTAAGAAAATTGCTGTTATTTGGATCTTGATTGTCAGTGGTAAGAATTTGTGCTTTCCTTAATTTAAGAAACAATCAGAGTCTGGTAAAGTTGTGGACATCATAGCTATCACTGATAAGAATTGCCTTCACTAGTCTGCATTTTTACACCCAGTCTCATCTGTGGCCAAGGGAAACACAACTTAATACAAATTTTTGAAAAGTCTTGATAAATTGCATGCCTTTGGATACAGATTGACCCAATAGATGTACATCATGACTGTGGTTTCTCAAACTTCACATTCTGGCAGACTCCATTGTAAAAATTTTTCCTTTATTTATGTAGACTCCCTAGAGAAGAATCAATTGTTAAATTAGTCATTTTTCACATTTAAACATAAATAAGACTTTTTAAAATAAAGATTTTAATGTAATTTAAATGATTATTAATCATGGGAGAGTACAGTAATGCTACAGTATATACATCATATGCTTTCCTATAATTATCTATTCAAATAAAAGTTTGTTTTATATTAATTATTATGTATTAAGTTGTCATAGTTTCTAATTACATTATTTCTAATTTTATTACAGAGCAAATTTGATAATTTGTACGGTTGTCGTGAATCTCTCACCGATGGTATCAAGAGAGCCACAGACATAATGTTGGCAGGAAAGGTCTGTGTTGTTGCTGGATACGGAGATGTTGGCAAAGGAAGTGCCCAGTCTTTGCGTGCTTTTGGAGCACGAGTTATCATAACAGAAATAGATCCTATAAATGCTTTACAAGCTGCAATGGAAGGTAAATTTAAGTTTAAGTTATATCTGATAAATAAATATGAAACTTATTTTATTACAATCAAGTTTTTCTTCTTTGTTGAATAATTTTAAATATTTTAAATTTTAGATTCAGAAGTGAGTACTTGATATAATTAGGATATTTCAGATCAGAGTCCAAATTTTGTATATTTTAACAGAATTAAATGGAAATAATCAATTGTCAAAGCATTATTATTAAAGATGTAAGGAAACAAAATGGAATTAGTAAATATAACCTGCAAATTGTATTTTATCTTAGAGATTACTTATAATTAGTAATCTGTAAAGATAAAATACAACTAGTTTAGTTTTGTTTTCACATTGTACTGGCAGTACAGTTGGCATGACAGTATTTTTAAGTCAACTTTGCACTGCAAAAAGTTAAAAATAGGCCAAACCATAAAAATAAATTGCAGGCCGATTCAGAAAATAATCAAATGATTTGTCACTAATCTGGCAGGACTGTTTGCAAAATAGGCGTATGCATGTTATGTTTGTTTATTCTACAAAAATTAAAAAAAAAAAAACAGATATAGTAAAAAACCAAAGAAATGAAGAAGTTTGGAAAACTGTCCAGGCAGTCTCAAAGTTGGAAGATTGACAAACAGGTGACCAAGATGGCTAAGACATTGGCCTTCTGCTCTGGGAATCTGGAATTGAATATGGGACAAGCAGTTTTCCAGGAATTTTTCATGGGCCATCTGACCCAGATAAGTTGGGTCCCATTCCTCTCCACCCAACCATCCTATCATGGGTGTGGTCAGAGCCACAAGGATATAACAAAGTAGCTTAATACAACTGGATGGAAAAAGTAAACTAAACTTTAAGTGAAATATGCATATTATTTAGTTGATTCATTTCTGTTTAAGGTGACTTTTTTCCCCTCCTTTTGAAATGTCACAAAAAATGTATTGTCACAAATAGCAATAATTTGGTAATTATAACTAAAGAGATATTTTAAAAACAGGATGTGAATGTTAATTAGTTAATTTTTTTTGCTAAATGTGTGAAATGTCAATATGCAGGCCTAAATAAAGAAAGCAACTAAACTAGGTATTTATCATAGATGTGCAAATGTATCATAGATAGCAAAGTTCAATAAAGTTCAAAATGAGAACTGATACAAAGTTGACCCAGAAATCTAGACCTTGCTTGTCAAGTAACAACATACCAAGTTTTGCCAAACCCTAGATAGAATTGAATATATGAAATACGTTATCATTTAGCATAAAAGCTTTCTAATAGATCCATAATAAAACTTGTTGTTAGCTCTTGCAATGATAAACTTTAAAAAAGTAATGTCTTGATTGACATAAATTGATAACTTAATGAATTCATAAATTGTTTAAAGGATATAGTAAACATGATTTAATGTCATGTCAATTGCTATAAACTACAGTTAATGATTGACATTTGCCTTATTTCTTTATATTCGACTAAATGTGTTTAATATTTTGAGCTCTATGATGGCTTTTCTTTTCTGCTAGACTTATTACACCATCAATTAGAAACTGATAGTGTAATAAGTCTAGCAAAAAGAAAAGCCATCACAGAGCTTGTAAAATTGAATACAAGACTAAACAAAAAGTGTATTAGTGGTAAATGTGTTTAAATGAAAATAAACCTTCATATCAGAATTTATTGAAAAACAAAGCATTTTTAACTGCCTTGAACTGTCTTCAAGTTTTATACAAAGTTCTCAAGTGCAATTTCTATATATTAGAACTTTGTTTATAACCTGAAGATAACTGTTCAAGACAGTCAAAAAAAATTTTAAGTAAATTATTCTAGTTTAAAGAGGTTTTTCTCCTCCTTTTTAATTTATTGAAGTAATTAGTTTACATTCAAGTTTCATTTTAAGGATTCTATAATAAAAATTTCTAGTAAAATTAAGTTTTTTATAATTTGCTGGCATGTGAAAAAGAATTTTAAATTACTAAACTATTATAATGTATAATTGAAAATAGCTATTCTTATATATAAATGTTAAACATAATGAAAGATGTTCTGGTAATAAATTTAGCATTATTGTATGTTAATAGTATGTCCTATTGGAAGTAGGTATGAAGAAAAAATTTTACCATTTAGATTATAATGAACAGAAAAACTTAAGTTGGGAGACATATGAGCAATATCCTATAAATAGCAGCAAAATTTGTCTGTTTATACAAATCTTGATTTGTATAAACAGACAAAATTCACAAATGAAGTTGACACATGCACGACAGGCACCAAAATCAAATGAAAACATTCAGACTCGTGTTTCATGCATGCACTTTAGTAAACATTGTGGAATGACAGGATTTGAAATCAGTTCCATAAGTAGTGTCATTGTTGATGCAACTGTACCAAATTCAATGTATTTTTATCAAATTTGTAAGTCAGTACCACTTTTAAAACTATTTTTGGCACAAAATTTAAAATTTGTGATAGTGTAAAATGTATGTCATCAAAACACTACATTTTTATTCTTAAATTATGTCACTCTTTACCAAAGCTACTGACCTCAAGGTCCATTAAACTTTAAAAATTGGAAAAGAAAGTAATTTTACGTAATTTAAGTAGTTAAGTTGGTACAATGTATCAATAATATAGTACTTAAAATTTAAGTCATCCTATTTACTTTTATATTTTTAATGAATGACAATTTAGCATTACAGTAAAATTATCTAAATTAAATTTATATATATATATATAAATGGACGTGTGTGTGTCCCTATATTTCACTTTTCAGCCAAAACTACACATCGCACATAAATGGTGTTTGTATGTGATAGTAGCCCCAAGTCTCCATTCATGCACTATGGTGGTTGCATCTCGATAGCTATAAGGGTGCGGGAGATATGGGGGCTTAAAGTGGTTGACTTTGAAGATTTTCTATTTCAATTTTAAAAATGTTTGAACTGTTTTAAATTCGAATTGGTTTGATTATAGAACGATTGTAAACGTTCCAGAAAATTAATCAAATTGAAAATAGTTTGTTTGACTTGACGTAAAAATTCTCTAATTAGTCTGGAAACGGGGGACCTAATTCTCGCATTCTGTGCTATATGGGTGTGGGAGATATGGGGTTGAAAGTGGTTGACTTTGAAGATGTGTGACAATGGAAGTGTCAACAATAGAAGTGTTAACAAAGGAAGTGTTATAAAGCAGATAAAGCAGCATGCAAGATTTACAGGCGGTTTTTTGTGTTTTTGCGGGAAATCGAACATATTTTTAGACTCATGTAAAAATTCTTTAATTAGTCTGGAAACGGGGGACCTAATTCTTGCATTCTGTGAAAATGGATAAGATTGGCTATAATGTAATTATCTTAATCTTCACTATCGTTACTTTTTGCCCAGCGAAGCGGGTCCTTGCAGCTAGATTCTAGAATACTTAGAAAAACAGTCTTTTATATATATATAAAAAAACTATATTACATACAAATGTACGAACAAATAAAAACCCAGCGAAGCGGGTCCTTGCAGCTAGTAGCTATATAAATTTTATAGCATGGGAGGTTTTTATAAAAAATTTTGTCACTTATTAAGTAGTTAACTAAATTTTAAAAAATATATGCATTTTTTTTTGTTTTTTGTTTAATGTGCTGTTTTCATTTATTTATAATCACTTTTTACTTTATCAGCAGTGCTGAAGTTATAAAGTTGCTTTTAAAAAATTTTAATTAAAATATTTCACTTTTCAGTGTTTTCTGTAAATTCAATGCTCTATAAAGTTTTAGTACACTTTCAAATTTATCTGCAGCAACATTGCCTGTCAGATATGCTTCCTTCACTTACATGATGAGACAGAAATGAGCAGTTCTTATTTCTTGCTATTTTCCTGACTGATGGTATTTAAAGAGTTGTGTATTGACTTCACAGGAGAGGAAGACATTCCTAATCCTATCCTAGTTCATGGGTGCTGTGAAATTCCAAAAATTTTTATTCTTGCATCAGATTTCACATCTGACGCAAGAATAAAAATTTTTGACGTACCAAATGCATGTATATTAGTAAAAATATTAAGGTAAATTTGCATTTATGCAGTGAAAAAACTCATAATCTGATAAAATTTTTTATGCATCGCCTACCTTGCTTACTCAGACAGCACACCTTTATTATATTTACTTTTTTTTTACTCTGAGAAACTCATTAGTAAAATAGTTGATTTCAATAATTACTATTTTAATTTCATCATTAAATAAATAATAAAATTTTTTATGTATTCATTTTTAAACTATTCTTAATATACTCAACTAAAAACTTATAAATTTAAATAGGATATGAAGTGACGACAATGGAAGAAGCGTGCACAAAAGCATCTGTATTTGTTACGACAACTGGCTGCCGTGATATAATTAGAGGCGAACATTTTATGAAGATGAGAAATGATTCTATAGTTTGCAACATTGGCCATTTTGACATAGAGATAGATGTTAAATGGCTAAATGAAAACTGTGTAGAAAAAGTTAACATTAAACCTCAAGTAAGTCATTTAAAATATATCTATAATTTAATCCCATTCTCAATAATTAACTGTTCGGATATTATATGCAAGATGCTTTGACTATAAAATCTAGTAATGTTTTCCACCATTTGGCATTCTGATCTAATGCACACAGTAGTTAACACAATTTTATGAACATCAGATTGTAAGAAAAGTAGTTTTTTCAAATTTATTATACTTTACATTAAAACTAATGTAAGAATTAAACAAGATAAGGAAGTTTTTAGAATACACTAAATTTGGTTTTGAACAAAACATAAAATTCATAATACAAAATGGACATAATTTTTATATACCAAATATATTCTACAATTATCCAAGTTCTACTGTACACTTAGTAGCTGCTTTCCTCGTATAACATTTCATATGAAAGTAAATTTTTCACAAAATTGCCATTGCAACTGGGTCACACTGTGTAAATTAGCATCTGAAACATGTCTTAACTGACAAAACTGTCAGCTTTTATTTACGCTGGTTAATCTGGCAATTTATAGAATTTGATAAAATTCAGGTAAAATATATTAATAGAAAAGACTAACAATTTTCATTCTCAGGTGGATCGCTACAAACTGTCCAATGGTAACCACATAATATTATTGGCCGAAGGTCGGCTGGTCAATCTGGGTTGCGCCATGGGACATCCCAGTTTTGTCATGAGTAACTCTTTCAGTAATCAGGTGTTGGCCCAGATTGAACTGTGGACGAAACCGACGCAGTATCCAGTGGGCGTCTATTTCCTGCCCAAAAAGGTAAGTTGAATCGACTGGGATAGGTAAAAGAATAATTTGGACCAATAAAAATACTTTGTTGCAGTTGGACGAAGAAGTGGCCGCCCTCCACCTCCAGCATCTTAACGTCAAGTTGAGTAAACTGAGCGAAAATCAGGCTGCGTATCTGAGTCTAGATCGGGACGGACCCTTTAAACCCGAACATTACCGTTATTGATTATCATTCAACTGAGATGTAGGCTGCTGGGAATAATAAAGCAAAGAAAGTTTTTCAACCAATTATTTTTGTAATGAAGTGCATCTGCTATTTGAAAATTATGTTTTAATATTGATTGAAAAATTTCATTTTGTCTGGAAAAGTCGAAATTAGTTCCAAATAAAGATTTTAATTTTTACTATGGCCAAACCCTGTTGTCACATGCTCGGTTTATGTCTAGTCCGTGTTAATGCCAAGTAGGCCTGGGATTGGCGAAAGCGTCACATAGCAACATACAAGGAACATTTTGTTGTAATTTGCCATGTGACAAAGTTTGTATAGGCAAAACTCATAAAAATTTGGTAGTCAGTGGGTCATGATAGGTCTAGATGAGTGATGAGTGTTTAGCTATCTACAGAGTTCTTTGTGCACTTGGAAACTTAGGAATTTTTATTAGTATTCAGGAAAAGTTATGGAATGTCAGGGAATTTGTTAAAAATTGTCAAAATGTCAAGGAATTTGTTTCCTTGGCTGTCTTGTTGATTTTTTGTTGACTATATGCTTGACTAAGTAGCTGTCTGCAGGCAGCAAGAAGTAATGTGGTGCAATACAACTTATGAAAAGAAGTGCAGTGTGAGAATATGGGCGAGGGGACAGAGCCCTCTAACCGTCGAGTTGATAGAACTCGCCCACTTTGTCTTTGGGATGGCTTTTTTTTTTTTTTCAAGTGGCTAGGGGGTTGGGAAAGTCGACAAGTGTCCGTGTTTTGGAGTGACAGGAGACAGGTTTTTAACAGACAACAACAAGAATTCATTATATAACTAAACAAATGATATGTATAACTAAGCCTAAGATTAGATGCGGTTAAATGAGGTTACATATACACTCCTAAGGAGGGGATTGACAAAAAGCTTTAATCAGCTTGCATGCTGACCTAATGACCTAGTTCTGTTGCTACTTCTGCTGAGAGATAGTTTACAATAATTATAAATACCTCAATATTCGTTGGTCAAATTAGATGATGTTCGTTCGATCGGAGAGAGAGGAATTCAGAGGACTGGCAATTGTATGGCGGGTCTTCTTATCATTGACTTGCATGGGCCGGGACAGTCCGTTTGTGGAGGTCCGCTGAACTTGGCACCTAGTCATTGATTACTCCAGGCACTAATTAATCTATTCACCTTCCTTTGAACTCTGTATGGGACGACCGCCCAGGACTTTGGTGTCTCCACCTTTTATGCTTGATGCCTGGGAAAATGATCATGTGATCAACTATTGACATGTCGAAGGTTCATTCCCAGGTGCAGGCATATGTTTCTTCCGATGATGTGTAATAGCAGCTGTCCCTTTTTCACAATTGAACGTTTTCCTTTTGCCATCTTGTCAAAATTCCTTTCCATTTGTTTAGAGAGAACGTCATCTGATCCCTTCTAGAGTGATGTTTTATTTATAACAATCGTGTTAAGAAATTAAATTACAAAGTCGTAATTTTGTGTGAAATTCGCTCGTTCCTCCACTCAGGCCCATAGATAGTCCTGCAGGCTCACAGCAGAATATTTTCAGGACCCAAGATTTCTCCCAAGCTTATACAAAATTTTTTCAAAAATTTACAAAATACAGTGGAATCTTGCTTAACGAGCATAATTTGTTCCAGAATGTTACTCATAATGTGAAACACTTATTAAGCAAAACAACTTTTCCCATATAAATTATTGTAAAATATGATAATACTTTCCATGCCAAAAAAAAATACTCAAATATTTTATGTATAACATTTATTCAAAGAAAATTATACAATATACATTAAGGAGCATAAGTCATCTTCATCTTTTCTTGTGGTGTGGAATGAACCATCCTGGAATGCAAATTAGATTTGCAGAAAACAAAAAATTTTGAAATACAATAGTTTCTAATATTTAATTATTACCTTTACATAGCCCAAGAATTTGGCATATTGTTTGGCATGTTTATTATATAATGGGCTATGGTTGTTGTTTATATGTAATATGTCTGAACACAAGTTGGGAAAAATGTGTGATCACAAGAAACACTAGCAGAATGAGTGCTAAACACAGACTAATGTAGCATGTGCACAATCTGGGACTTCCCCTCTCCTCATCACTCGTTATGCAAAACGTTGCTTGTTAAGAGAGCCATTTTTTACAATTTGCTTTGCTTGTTAAGTGAGGTTCCACTGTACACAAAATAATAATAAATTTCCTGAACTTCATAAATTTAAGAGAGAAATTTAATAAATATATACTTTTGTACTATACAAGTCGACCCCCCTATAACACTGTTGATTATTCCATTTTATATGAATTCAATGTTGTACGAGTCACTTAAATTATATAGAATTTGTTAATGAATAATAAAAAATAATTGTTTTTGTTTTCTTTTTTATTTCAAAACCATGTAGATTTATGGTTGTGGATTAATAACAGAATTTTAATATAACATTTTATTTTTGATATTAATAATTTGGCAATTATAAAAAATATATAACTGTTAATTAGAAAAAATAAATAAAACATTAGAGAAGCAAAACATATGTGCACAGGAAGTCAAGAGCTGTTTTATTTTGTCAATGTACCATACTGTAAGGGACATGAGGATCGGGGAATTTGTACAAAATTGTTTAGTGGAGGTTAGGGAAAGTCATGGAAATTAAAACAATAATTTTAATAGGAACCCTGTATATAGATGGACGAGCTATATGGTTAGTGGAAAACCTAACATTTACATGATCTGTCATGGAAGACATTTACTCAATAATTGTTAATCGTGTATAGCATATAGCACACGATTCTCTTCACTGTCTTAAAATTATAAACAATTGTTAAAACAAAGTATATAAAAATTTTATTAATTGTTTTTTCTTTGAAATGCTTTTGTAATCTATGTTGAATTTCCTCTATGCTTCTACATTTGTTACTAACACTTCATTCTTTGCAAATTAATCTACAATGAGCAATTATTTATTGTGACATTGTCACAATTCTGTGCTGCAATTTTTAATCATATTTTTGATTTATTTAATTTAAAATATATGCTTTCCACCTCAAATTAGTAGTCTTGCCCCTGTACAATATACTTTTCCATTAGAAATGGAGTTGTAGAGTTGTGCTGGACATCTATCTAACACCTCTTGGGGGAAAAGTTTTGAATTGAAATAACGTGACTTCCTGTTTGCATCGGAAGTTCGTATATAGTTAATCGGGACCTCCAGCCCTTTAGGTTTCCATATCTGGTCTCTGATTTCATCTAACTAACTTTGTTCTCGAGATTAAGGAAAGACACAGGCAACAGTGGGAATTTACAGGTCTACAATTTTTTCAAATTGCAATCCAATAATTGTATTGGTCATAAGTAATAGTCAGATGTATCCTTTCTTCTGTTATTTCTTCTGTTTTTGTCTCTCTCTATTATTGAAACCCACATCTGAGACAACTTAGGCCATTTTGAAAATTTCCGGACTATACCGTATTTTTCGCCGTATAAGACGCACTTTTTCTCTCCAAAATCGGGGGGAAAAAAGTGCCTGCGTCTTATACGGCGAATACAAAAGCCCACCATGGCCCTCCGCTGCCCCTCCACTTCTGCATACATACATAACCGCAGGAATACTCGGCCACTCCGTTCCCTTCCACCTCTTGGCGCCGTCTGATACCAGGAAGCTCCGCTCTGCCTCGCACTGTATTTGGACGGTCTTTGCCTCGCGCTGCGATTGGCNACCGTTCAAAGTTCTGATGCGAGAGGAGTGGAACACCTGGATGGCAGCTGGGAACCATGATCTGACTCCTACTGGACGGATGAAGAGGCCCACTATCACACAAGTGTGTGAATGGGTTAAAAGGTCATGGGACTCCGTAAAGAAAGACATTGTTGTAAAATCATTCAAGAAGTGTGGCATTAGTAATGCCTTGGATGGAACAGAAGACGACGTCTTATTTGACACCAGTGAGAAAGAAAGTGATGACAATGACTGCGTGGATCTGTCCTTCCTCATTTCTGATAGCAGCAAAGAAGAGGAATTCTTGGGGTTAGAATAAAAACATGACAGCCTTATTTTTGTTACTTTCACTGTTTGCTGACTGTTTATGATAGTAAAGATAGCTCTTAGTATGTTACATGGTTGACATAAAATTTTTCTTAACTGCTGTTAACTTTATACAGTTGATATAAAATATTTTACTACAGAATTTGGTTCATAATCTTTTTTTTTCTGAATTTGCCTCCTTTAAAATTGGGTGCGTCTTATATGCCGGTGCGTCTTATACGGCGAAAAATATGGTATTTCTAGTGGAGGGAATTATATACTATCATAATCAAATCACTGATATTTTGTGGTAAATAGTAAATCAGATTACGACCATTTTCCTCAGACATTACAATTGATTTTACTGTTTGCACAGCATTATATCCTATTTGAAAGTCATAAAACATGTCCAATATGCTTTTTATCAGAAGACATTATTCAATCTATATATATAATCGAGACGAGATAANACAATGGAATTGTTAAGAGAAAGCGACGTGCAATATGCAGATGCAGTTTTTTTCGTTTTTGCGGGAAATCGAACATATTTTTAGACCCATCTAAAAATTCTCTAATTAGTCTGGAAACAAGGGGACCCAATTCTTGCATTCTGTGAAAACGGGTAAGGTTGACTGTAACGTAATAATCTTTATCTTTGCCCGAGCAACGCCGGGCCCACCTGCTAGTTACTTAATATTTGTTTGAATAAAAAGAGTTTATGGTGACATTGTTAGTCTTACTTTCTCTTTTTCTTCAAAATAAACTAAATTTTGCATTATTAAAATAGAAGATTTTAAAAACAATGAAAAATAATACCCTGAAGTAAATTAAATTAAAATATTACATACAGTACATCAAAATTTGGTGTAATTACAAAATGACTTTTATTCAATTCAATATTATGTACAGAAAAAACAAGAAATAAAGTAATGAAATACCATGGTTACCTTTAAGCAAACAAAACTGTACAATAGCATTTAACAAAAAAACATTTTTTATTGGTACTTTTGGAAGCTTTCTTGAATTATTTTTCACATATTTCAGAATATTATAATGAATTTTTATATAATCAAAACTATAATGACAATATAAACTTTAAAAATTACATTGCAGTAAGTTATAACAGAATTAAACAACACAACAATATATGTAATCATTTTATAAATGCATG